AAGCCAAATAAATTTATATTTATATACAAATACAAAACAAAGTGCACAGTGAGGTAAAGTAAGGGGACACAATTTCAAGTAATTTCAATTATGAAACATTAATTCCCATACTGCACTTAAAGGACAAGTATGAAAAGATATGCATTGCACTCCTGGATGAAGTAGATTTTGTCTGTATTTTAGGGGTTTTTTCACCAACAGTCTGACTTTTGTTGGAAAGAAGCTCTTGTGGAAGCGTGTTGTATGCGTTGCCAGTTCTTCTCACCCCGTGGTGAACTGGCAACCTGTCCAGGGTATGTGTTGTCACTCTGTGACAGCTGGACCCCGCCGCCCTGGTGGCAATGAACTAAAGTCTGTCCAACCAGCAAAACTGATGGTGAAGCCTCTTAGTGTCTCGTGCACACTTTTAGAATTGGATGCACGTTCACGCTCGTGTGTCTCCTCCTGGGAAAAGTCGAGGCAGGGATTTTTGCTTGTGTGGGGTAACCCACCACACTGTGGAGCAACTATGCTATGGGCTTTAACCAGCTGAGAGTTACATGAGAATGTCCAGTTCCAGCAGATAGCTGCACCTCCCTGCTTCTGCTCCTGCTGGAGGTTTCAGGAGTTGTTCCTACCTCCCTACTGGATAACAATTAACCAGAGTATTGGAACTAGCTCTTTAATAAAGTGGGTTCTTTGTCGGTAAATTACTTTGCAATGACGCTTGTTCTCAATTAGTTATATATAAACTATAATAAACCAAACTGAATTCGTTACACATTAATTTTATTTGTGTACTTAAAAAAACATAATAACAACATCCTTGTGAGTGCCTTAATACGCCCTATTATGACGAATGGTGTGAGCTGTAAAAACTGTGCCGCTCACCACGGAGGCCGAAGCATTTCTTTTCTCCCCAGCCTTTGATTACCTCTGTCTTTGTACTCATTGTTAGATTTAAACGCATGAGTTGGTTGCTGTGTGCGAGTCCTCTCTACCTCTCCGTTTCTCCCTGGCTCTAAAAATAAAGATTTGCTTGCTTTGCGGTAATCAATGAAACGGGAGCTGCTTCACCCACTTGAAATATTTAATAAGAAAGTACAACAGACTCCAGGTCAGTTTTTAATAGGCCCGTGTAGGATGGGATATAGGGCCTCATTTATTAGCACAGATAAAACCTCTACTGTTCCAAACGGGCCTGTCAACACATCCTGTCAGCACTGCTTCGCACTGCCGTCCAAACACACTCACACACACATTCCCACACTCCTCTTTGTCATCTTTCTTATTTTTCCCACTGCTGCCTTCTCACATTTGCTTTGCCTTCTCTCCTCTCTCTTCTTTTTCTCATTTGCTCCTTCCAGCAGACACATTTTTTTCCTCCAACTAATTTCACCATCTCCTGTCCTCTTACCTCGCTCCTTTGTTCTCTCTCGCTAAATCTGCTCTGGACGATGTTCGAGTAGTTATTAGGTTTCCTGCCGCTTCCTCGCTGTCTTGTGCCTGTTTCTGTATGTGTGTGTTAATGAAATCCCCACCACCACCACCACCACCACCCACTCCCCTGGGCTCAGGTGGCACTCCTTTGACCGGCGAGCTCAGTGCTGCGGCTCAACATGAGGGCAAAGGTTGTAACCAGTTTCCCATTTACTGAATAAATTAGCTGTGTGGGCAGTGTGTGTGTGTGAGAAAAAAGGTTGCTCGACACACACATAAAATGGCTGCGGTTGTGTTTTCTGCCTGGCGCACACTGGCTCGGCCCTCTTAAAGGATATGGTCATATTACTCGGCACGGGGTCAAAGGTCAAAGCCAGCGAGGCACCCGATACAGAAGACGCTGTGTTCTCGCTGAGCTGCCGCTCGGCTTTCTTCTGTGTAAGACATCGGCCTCTCTGTGTTGTTTTGACACAATGATCGTCCTGTTTTGGGATCGACACACCGCGCACGAGCCTACGTCCGCAGTGGCGAATGTGTGTCACTCTCTATACTTACACGCCCAAATTTAGTTGGAGAAGGTTTCATTTTCATAGCTTTTATTTTAGACTTGTGACCCAGATTTTCTGACATCATCCCATGTCCCCATGGCTCGCCTATGCTATCAAAAGTATTACAGAGAGCCATGCACTATATTGCCAAAAGTATTCACTCGTCTGCATTCGCACATATATCAATTAAAGTGACCTGTCATTCTTAATCCGTAGGGTTTAATATAATGTCAGCCCACTGTTTGCAGGTATAACAGCTTCAGCTCTTCTGAGAAGTCTTTCTACAAGGTTTAGGGGTGTTTATGGGGACTTTTGACCAGTTTTGATCAACCCTGCAAGACGATTACCCGTTCACCAAACATTACACTTGGCACAATGCAGTCAGACAAGGACTGTTCCCCCGGCAACTGTCAGACTCGTCAATCACATCACCAGATGTAGAAACGTGATTGGTCGTCTCCGCTGCTCTACACCAGTTTCACTTTGTTATATACCACAAAACAGCTGACTGTGGAATATTTAGTAGTAAGGAAATTTCACGGAGTACACTGAGCTCCTGAGCGTGCTGTTCTTTCTCTAATGTTTGTCTGCATGCCTCGGTGTTTGGTTTTATACACCTGTGACCACTGAAGTGGTTGAAACAGCAGAAACACCAGCAGGCGATGGCCTCCTCATGAACCTCCAAAAATCTGGGAACAGGGCATCTAGTTTCGAGGTGATCTCTCCTGTGCCGTATGTAGTGCTTTAATGCATAGTGTATCGTATTTGACAGTTTCTGTGAGTTTTTGAGAACACATCATCCGTGTGGGTTTTATTTCCCCACTAAAAACCAAAATAAATTGCACAGTACATTTTAAACATATTTGCTCCAAAAAAGGAGCAAATATGATACAAAGAATATAGATTTTCATTGTCAGAAGGTTAAATAAACTCTCAACTATTTAATGGTTCGGGCTTTAAAGGGTTAATCCGCAATAATCGATACAGCCTGTAAAACTGAACTGGAGGACCAGTAAGCAGAGGGTAACTCTAATCGTATATCTTCTGCTGCCAGCTGTTCCTGTCCTTCCACAGTCTGAATATCTTCATGATGTTCCTTGACTGTTTCAGTGTGCTCTCCTCTCATTACCACATTAATACATTGTCTGATAATTCAGACTCACTGTGGCTATAGGATTTTTTTTATTAGTTCAGTAAGGAATGAAAATCAGCTTAAATGAATTTGATGGATGTAATGGTTTAAATGTGACAAATCCCACAGGAGAAGCCATCCTTTAAAAATCGTTTTGCCAGATCAATCCAGAGAGCCGGCAGTTTAAGCCAGTATTGAATTTTTGCATAAACACCACAGGATATCTTGACTTTGTTAATCCTGTGTAGTTATTTAAACTGTAATTGTAGCTCAAATCAATTTCAAGCATTCAACATTTTTATGTCACCATTCTGTCTATTGATATTAACAATTAGTAAACATTTCAGTGTAACACACTATAAACAGGGGTGCACAGTACAGCATTTGCATACAGTACTGTTCGCCCATCATTTCCTTATGTTTTAATAGGGAAATTGGCCATAGGTCCATTGATTGACAGTTTATTTACCAAGCTTCTAACAACCTTGAAAGTCCACATGTATTTTCCAACTCAGTCTGAACTCTCTTAGGCAGCTTTGTAGTCATTTCTGTAAGTAGCCTTTGGGAATAGTTCTCCAGGCTTCTTGAAGGACATTCAAAGCTCTTCTTCATATGCTTCCGCCTTTTGTTCTGGAGGCCTGAACATGGTGTTCGTTTGTCTGCAAATGCACACTGACTGGCAACGTAGCGCGAGAACACTGGTGGAGAAACCCCCGGCTGTCGTGCACCGTCAGTCTCTGTGGCGCAATCGGTTAGCGCGTTCGGCTGTTAACCGAAAGGTTGGTGGTTCGAGCCCACCCAGGGACGACCGCTTTTTGTACTTTTGAGCATAAAGCACAGAACACACGCCTAATGTCAATTTTGCTTTATACTCAGCGGTAACCTTGACATCATTGCTTACTTAAAAGTAACAACAAGCTTCTTTTTTTTTGCTAGACTTAGCGATATCGTTTCATTAAATATATAAATTTAAAAATACATTTATAAATGTATCAATATAAATGTATTTAGCCAAAAACGCCAGAATCCCAGGTTACAGCTCACAAAACTATTTCAGCAACCATCCAGCAGCTGATAAGCGACGATACCCAGCCCTACACACCAGTGACATAATCGAAACCATGAGAAGACAAGAAATGTGGTTTCCCCCGTCTTCTGGGCTGCAACAGTCTCTGTGGCGCAATCGGTTAGCGCGTTCGGCTGTTAACCGAAAGGTTGGTGGTTCGAGCCCACCCAGGGACGAGCAATTTTTGTGTTTAGGAGCAAATAATAAGTTTTGTGAAAAACACAGTGTCTAAAGCTAAAATAGAATATAAAGATATATATTTTTGCTAAGTTGTGTATTACGTGCAGTCACATCATTGCTTCATCTCTTATAAAATCTAAATAAATCGGTTTTGATAACCGACATTTCCTGTATATAATCTTTTAAGAAGTTTCAGATTCCGATGCTGGTTTTATTATTACATTATTATACCAATTAACTGGTGTAAAGTAAGTGGTTATATAATGATATAATTACAAGTACAGTTTTTAAATAGTTTCAGATAATTAATTGATAATAATTGGATTATGTGCATGTGATCAGTGTACATAGATTTGATTAGATTGATTATGTGCTCTACATTAATATACTACAACATTAAAATATGTCTATGTATATAATTTGGGTAAGACTCTGAAAAGTAGCTTTTACTGTTTATATTTAAGCAGCGTACTTTAACTAGATTTGAGTAAAACATTTTTTGTTACGCTAAATATTTATTTTATTTTCCGAGGATTTAATTAAAGAATAACATCACTTAGCGCTCTCTTAATAAAGCCAAACACTTCTCCTCTGAAGTGTTCTTCGTATAAAACAGGAGGCTGCAGTACCAGCTCGTGGACACTTGACGGCGGCAACGGGCGGAACGTCACTCTGACCTCACAAACATGGCGGCGCCCATTAGCAAACATTGTATTTCCGTTTCTCGAAAAGTGGGAAGTTTTCTGTTTAATTCAGCGTTTATTGCCCAGGCGGCGCACTGCTCTAACAACATGGACTGTCAGAGGCCCACAAAGGTTTGTCAGCACATTTTACCCTCTGTAAACACGTTTTTTTTGTTGTGTGGTGACGTTATTTTACGTTTTTGCGTTAAACATGAGTTTGCGAGCTGAAGCCGCTTTACCGCGGCGTCGCCGTCCTACGCAGTTTGCTGTGCACTTGTCAGGTGGCTCCAGCTGTTTTAATGTCCGCTCTGTCCTCCACAGCTGGAGTTTGCGGTGCAGATGACGTGTGAAAGCTGCGGGGAGAAAGTCAGAGCAGCTCTGGAGGGCAAACCAGGTGAGCAAGCACATGTAGAAAGAGCTGCTGACCCCCGCTGCATTGTTTACTTTCCTACAAACAGGGACTGCTGAAGTTTTCTGCATCCTACGCACTTAAAAGTGCAGTACAAACGCTGGTTAGCATGATTTTGCATTTCAATATTAAAGTAAACTCATTACACTAAGCAACAAGTGATGTTTCCAGAAAGATCCTGCATTTTTCTGCAGCGCCCACTGAACTCTAAGGGAGCATATAGTAGAGACGGTGTCATTTCAGCTGCTTCATCTTAACTGAATGCTTAGGCACTTCCATCAGTGCAGGCAACTGTATAATGCAACACATATGAAGCATCCTGTTTCCTGTTAAGTGAGTCAAACCATATTGAGCACCTGGCAATCCACAACCTTATAAGAAAAAATTATTTCATTTGTGATTTGGAGATGATGGTATTTCATACTGAGTGACCAGAATGGACAGAATTAGTAATGAGTCCATCAGAGGGAAAGCTGAAGGTTTGGCAGTTTGGTGACAAAGGCTGGAAGACGAGGCTGAGATGGTTTGGACATGTGCAGATAGGGCTGTGCGATATGACCAAACTCTCATATCCCGATATAAGAATTCTATCGGCCGATAACGATATAAATCACAAAAATGTAACATTTTCTGTAAATTCTGTGAATCTGGGCAGCTCGACTTGCGGGAAGTGTTTCCAGCTCCGCGTCATGTAGCTGGAGTCGAGTGTTCTAACCAATGCATGAAACTCTACATTTTTAGACATAAGTTGTAAATGCCGCAGTTTTCTTTGTGAGCATTCATTACTCAGCGTGCTGCGGGGGAAAGCCTGTTCTAATGTTTGAGTCTAAGGTTTATTTTTTAGCACCTGGCGGCTCTTTTTTACTTCTCATCCGTAAATAATCTGCTCTTTCACGTGATTCAGTTTATTCTGAAAAGTCTCAACAGGATCTTGAGCTTTATTGTGAAAGGTTTATGTGGAACATAAACAAGCGGACACGCGATGCTGTTACCTTGTTTTTCCTAAACACAATGCATAAAACCAGGTGCTTGTCCGTCTGTAGTGTGGTTATATTAAATATAAGAGAAAGAGGGAACTTTAAGAAATTAATATAGCCACTACAGTGTCCATCAAAACAATGAAAAAAAAATTGTTGTAAACAGTTTATTTTGCGACACCACGAAACAAACGATAGCGTAAAATGAAACATAGACGTTTTATATCATCATCCGATATATATCGTTATATCGAACAGCCCTATGTGCAGAGGAGGGATAGTGGATATAATGGACAAAGGATGTTGAAGGAAAAGAGGAAGATCACAGAGGTGATCATGGATGCAGTGAAGATACACGCAGGTGTTGGTGTGATAGAGGTGGATGTTAATGCTGGGTGCGATGGAAGCAGATGGTCTGCTGTGGCGACTCCTTAAGGGAGCCGCTGAAACAACAACATAACTTTGAAGAGAGAAAAACAACAGCCACTAATCTCACCACAACTAATAAAACTCTTATCAGGAAATAACATTCATGGTTCTGTCTCCAGCAAGTGTTGGATGTTATTAGAAAACAATAAAGCTTTAACATTTTCACAATAACAAACCAGCTATAGACTACATATTATACAGATATAAACAAGAAAATGTAGACACAACCCAATAAAAAAATAAAACCTTGCTAGTACCAGGTTGGACCAATTTATTTCCAGAACTGCTTTAATTCTTTGTGACACAACAAGGTACTAGAAACATTCCTCAGAGATTTTGGTCCACATGACAGCATCACACATCCACGATTTGAATCTCCTCCTCCACCACATCACAAAGGTGCTCGATTAGACAGAGAGCTGGTGACTGTGGAGGTCGTTGAATAAGTGTACCTAATGAGGGTAGATTTTCATTGATATAGATCAGTGTAAAGCAGTAAATCTAAGAAAATGAAAATCAGATAAATCCTAGGCAAACTGTTTCTGTTTTTAGATTATTCGCATCGCTGAACGTTCTCCTCAGCTGTCTGCATTCGTGTTATTCTCCGTCTGTCTGTCTGATGATGGTTTTGGTATGTTTGCAGGCGTGAACTCGGTCAGTATTGATGTCGGTCAGGAGCAGGTGCTGGTGGAATCTGCTCTGACCAGTGCAGAACTGCAGGCCCTGATAGAGAGCACCGGACGGAGGGCCGTGCTGAAGGGCATCGGCGGATCAGAGAAAGGTGAGGAGGAACGGCAGCAGGAGCTGCACGTGCCTGCGCTGGAGGTATCAGAAGCTTTCCAGTACCACAGCTGAGTCGGATTTATAGTCCTGTTTAATCTTGGGAAGAGTGCAAGAGTCCATGTACCAAACTGTAGACCGTGCAGGCAAAATACAGCTGATTAAATGTAATATTTGAAAATTGTAGTTCCCACTTATTTTGATGAATTAAAAACCGAGTGAATGCAGATAATATTTAGCCAGGTATTTGGGCCATTCCTTGCAGATATTCAGCGCGGTACAGTGTGGTAACTTTGAGTTGATTTATCGGACTTCCTGCTAAACAAAGATGCCTCATAAAACAGCCAAAATGGAGTTTCATTAGTTGAACCTCTGTTTGTGGTAGCAAGTCTCAGTCAGATACAGTCTGCTGATCCAATCACAGGTCAGTAACCGTGTGATTGCATGCACTGAGGGCAGTTTATGATTTAAACATGGACTAAATATCAGCTGATCTGCTTTAAAGTGTGAACACAAAGATCATCCTGACTACACCGGAGACCTCCGAGCCTTGTCTTCCATCCTTACTTAATCTGTGAAGCACAGCACTATAAGATAGGCACTCAGCCCCACAGCCTACCACAGTCTGCCTCTCCCTGTAGCTTTAAACTGGTTCATTTTATGTTGAGCTCACAGCTCCCTACAGATAAAATCTAATGTGAAGCAGTCTGATCACAGCCCTACCCCAACACAAGTAAGTGCTTCACCCTCTCTGTTTTTCCGTGGCAGATCTGGGTGCAGCGGTGGCCATGTTAGCCGGTGCCGGATCGATTCAGGGGGTGGTGCGTTTCCTGCAGCTGTCCGAGGAACGCTGCCTGATTGACGGGACCATTGACGGGTTGGAGCCCGGACCCCACGGTCTCCACGTTCACACGCTGGGAGACCTCACACTGGACTGCCTCAGGTTAGACCAGTGTTTCATACCAGTTTTATCAGCTCATCAGCATCGTGTAGAGTGTGAAGGAGATGGGGAATCATCGGTGATTTACACTTTTCCTAAGCTCAAACCTGGAAAGAGTCATGGTTATGAGTCTCGGGCCTTTTCACACCCATAGTTTGTTTACTCTGGTCCGAATCGGTTGACGAGTTTGTAAACTTTTAGCTTTTCTCTGCGGTTTGGTTTCTTTTCCCGCAAAGAAAAATCTGTGTGGTCTGACCTGTGATGTGAAAGAACAAAAAACGGGGTTTGTGGTACCGAGGCAAGCGATGACCTTCAAAACTCCCACGCATACGTACGGGCTTATGTTACAGCTGTCAGTTTTAATTATCTCATCTGTGTCTCTGAGAGACATTGTATACTGTTGTACCCATGAGCCTCAGCTCTTATTGCCTCGGAGAAGACGGCAGCGAGAGATGAAATTATTGTGTAATGTAATTATGGTTTTAATTAAAAACAGGGCTTTAGCGGAGTTCATCTGAAATCCCGCTGATTTAGCGTGTTAATGGGACAGTGTGTCATTTTAAGCTTCCACTTGTCAGTTTAGGCTCAGTAATTCAATTAACCGAGCGCATATTGACGGGCGGCGTTAACTGTTGCTCACAGGCGTGTAGCTTTAGCATTTTTATTCTTTGTTGACGCCGTCCTGCAGAGATGTAAAACGTATCGGACATCAGGGGGAGTAAAATACGCTCGTGTGAAGTCTTTGTCGTCAAACTCACAAATGAGAAAACTGAGGGATCCATCCATCATCAAGTCCCTCACACCTCTACCTGTTTTCATTACTTTCTGCCTTATACACTCACCAGACATTTCATTAGGTACACCTAGACTCCCTTTTTCCTTCAGAGCCGATCAGACCAGGCGACGTTCTTCTGATCTTCTCTCGTCCAGTTATAGTGACTCAGGCCTGATTTAGGCTTCTGTAGAGGATCTTTATGGAGCCTACGATGTAACCTGCGTTACAAGTGGCGGACATGCTGGCATTTATGCTTGTGCTGGTGTGTTACATGTTAATTGCCATGTGTTCGTGTAATGTAAAGCTAACCGATGGAAACAAATAAAATGTTGCCATTGTTTTCCTCCTCGGTCCCCGTTCTTTGTTACTTTTACTATTTTAGTAACTGTTGCCGTCTTATCAACTTGAACCAGTCTGACCTCTGAAATCAACAGTAAGGTGTTTTCTCCCACCGCTCACCAGATGCTACAGTATATTAAACATGGCCAAAGTTTAAGTAGGAAACACCCCGGACAGTCTATACCAACTCCAACAATAACATTATGGAAGGTGGAGATGATGATCATGGATCCCTTTTATAGAGAGATGCTCAAACTAATTTATGTTCCATATATTTGATTCCCATCATGCTCTCCTTTCTCTGCAGTTGTGGAGAGCACTATAACCCCTTTGGGAGACAACACGGCGGTCCAGAGGACTCCGACAGGGTACGATAAATTACTTCTTTAGCTCGCTCTAAAATAACCTCTCCATAAAGTCATTCATTTTCATAAGTAGAGCGATCAGCAGTGCTAGGATCCTTGTGTCATAAATTCAGACTGTACCTCCTTCTGGCTTGTATTAAAATGTCAGCGGAGGCCAAATGCGAGATGCGATAACTCGCTCAGATTGCCAAACACGTCCCAGAGGAGCCGTTTTGGGCTCTTCTGCTCCAGGTGCTAAATTTTAAATGAAGTGTGTGAAAGAGTTGTAACTCTGCCTTGCTGTTAACTCCTTATTTTTTAATAGTTTTATACTTCACTGAACCACTTGACGTACAGTTAAGTTTTCACAGGTACTGTTTTGTACACAGCATGTCGGCGATCTGGGAAATGTCATCGCTGGACCAGACGGGAGAGCCTCATTTAGACTGGAGGACGGTCAGCTTAAGGTAACACAGAGTTATATTTGGCACTCGTACTTAGCCACAGGAGCTGAACAGCGTGCCTTGGTCTGTTTGCCTCCAGGTGTGGGATGTGATTGGTCGATCACTGGTTGTGGACGCAGGTGAGGACGACCTGGGTCGAGGAGGTCACCCTCTCTCCAAACAGACTGGGAACTCTGGAGAAAGGTGGGTGTGAAGGTGGTTTGTGTTAAACATGCGTAGCTTCAGGCTGGTTTCCAGTTCATTCATGGATTCACTTTGCTTTACATCACAAAACAGCAGTTATCGGCCGTTTTCATCACCCACCATTGAAGCCAATTGTCTTCGACAACAAGTAAATTATTTACTTTGTAAAATGTGAAGAAAATAAATATTTCGTGCTCACTATACTGTTGGAACATCAGCAATACATTAGCATTATTGCTGAAAAACAAAGTAACCAGTTAGCATTAAAAAGATTTGTGCTAACTTTGCTCACATTTTACGACAGTTTGAGCAAAAAATCTCCAGAATCATCCATCCAACCTGTTTCCACCACCTATGTGTTCTGGTCACGGGGAAACTATCTAAGCAGAGATGGCTCCGAGACCTCCATCTCCCCAGCAACTCCCTCCAGCTCTACTAGGAGGACCCTGAGGCATCGCCAAGCCAAATGAGAGATATAATCTCTCAGTTTGATCTGGGCTTTCTCCCACATTGCCTAAAACTCCTCACCTAGGAAGCATCCAGGAGGCATCCTAGTCAAACCAAACCACCTCAGCTGTCTCCTTTCAATGTGGGCTCGCAGCCTCTCTACCCGTCTCTAAAGGAGATCCTTGACATCCTTTGGAAGAATCTCATATCCGTTGATTAATCACAACTCATAGCCTCAGGTGAGGGTAGGAATGTAGATCCGGCGATAAGTAAATAAAGTAGCTTCGCTTTCACGCTTGGCTCCCTCTTCCTCACAGCAGACCAGTAGAGCATCCATGTTCCTACAGATGTGACTTGGAACTTCTCCACTGCTGACAGTAACTCATCCCAACTCAGAGCGGGCCCTCCTAACTCCACTGGCTGAGAACCACAGCCTCAGACTGGGAGCTGCGCGTTTTCATCCCAGCATCTTCACATAGTTTTCCATCCTCTGCCTGCCAGAGCTGAAACACAAATTAGTGAATGAAGTCATGATACAAATCTTTTTTTTTTTAGCAAATATTCGTTCTAACAAAAACAGATTTTTGACAAGCTCTGGATCAAAGCTAAGCTAATGAGGAAGTGTTGGTTCAAAGCAGGAGTACGTTGGTAGTCCGTGGAGAGCTCCAGGCTATCCGTCTACCTCCAGAGAGCGTCTGTTGTCAGATGGGTGCAGTATCAAAAATATGTGGTGCAGCCAGTCTGTTGCTGTTTCATCTGAACAATGAAAAGCGTTCACTACAGCCACTCCCTGTGCTGCTCAAGCTGTACTTTTGTATCTTTGATGGGTTTTTCCACACTTGTCCCACTCCTGGTGAGCTCCACTGTCACCTCATTCCCTGTTCAGGCCCACTTGTCAACAAATCAACATTCAGACTCCACCCACCCCCACAAACCACTCCTCTATGACTGCAACACCTCTCTACATACCTGTGAGAGAGAGAGAGAAACCCCACAAAGCAGCTGGACTACACCACCTGTCTCCATCCACGCCGAAGCACCACATCCTCCTGTCTCCAGAGTCACCTTCAGCACCTCAGTGGAGACGCGTCATGAGCCAGCCTGCTTCAAAGCCCCGACCATTACTGCTGTGCTGAGTCCATCCTCACCTCCATGATTACCATCTGGTGCTCAAGGACAGAGTCTGACGGCAGCGTCGCATCTGTTCCACCAAGAGGGCGATTCGCTGCAAACAGCCTTCTCTGCAAGACCCTGCATGCCTCCAGGACCCGAGGCAGGCAACAAACATGGTTCCTGTCCCTCCTGCATTGGTCATAGAGTTTTTGAGTCGTACAATGTGCCTAAAATAATATTTGCATATCCAAATGACGTGTGTATATAAGAGCTGTTATTTCTGTTATTAGTAACGAGAGGAGGAGAAACAGATTTGTCAGACTGCTGTAAATTTCCTGGCCACCTGTAGACTATCTGCTAGTTTTATTAAAGCCCTCTAATGTTAAACGCTCTACTCTGCTGCAGCACTCGAAGCTTTATACAACGTGCCCCCATCGCTCATTCACACCCATACAAGCACTTTTTTTTTTCGCCTGAGTGCTTTCTATCTAACATTCACACTTCAGTGAATGCATCGGAGAGCAACTTAGGGGGTCAGTATCTTCAGTATTTTGCCCAAGGATACTTTGGCATGTAAAGAGGAGCAGCCTGGGCTCAAATCACCTGCCTTCTAATTAGTCGATGGCTGCTGTAGCTTCTGAACTACTCTTAATAGCTGGGTAACTCCTCTGTAACTCCTGTAGACTGCCAGTGTTACAGAGGTCATCTGCACCTTTGTTCAAGACCAGGAAATGTTTGTTTTCACTGACTGACTAGTGTTTGATTGCTGACATTGCCCAGTTCTGTGCCAGTAATCCTTTCACCTGGATATCAGTCATGACCACAGCACTCAGTGTTTTTGTGATTAATTAACTAAAATCTCAAAACTTAAGTAATGAAAAATGCAATGTGACGTAACGCTGGTATCAAAATTATTATTTCAGGCACTTTAAATTGGTCAACTGTAGGTATTTTAGGTATTTTAAATTTCTTTGTTCTTTTTTGTTTTGTTGTTTTTTTCCCCTGTGCAGGCTGGCCTGTGGGATCATCGCCCGATCGGCGGGACTTTTCCAAAATCCCAAACAGATTTGTGCCTGCGACGGCGTCACGCTGTGGGAGGAGAGGGACCGGCCAATAGCTGGGAAAGGTCGGAGCAAGAACAACCTGGAGACACCGGCGGCACACCTGTGAACCTCTCAAACCTCTGGACACTGATGAGAGTTTGAACAAGGGGGACAAAAAGCGTCTCGAAGAGAAAGGCAGATTGTGTTTCTCGGCGGAGCGCGAGTGCTGACGCGAGGAAGACAGAGTCCTGAAGATTACTGCACTGATGACCAAACAGCAATGAATGGACTTAATTTCGTGAAAATGCTCTTTGTGATCAAATCAAACGCTCTCTGCAGTTGCTGTTTAATGTTTTTCTGAGCATTTTAAACATGTCAACTCATCAGCAGGATGTCTGTAAATGTTTTCTCAGCTACAGATTTAATTTCTCTGTGTTGCCGTCCACTTGCAGGAACATGTGAGTAATTATATAAGCCTCTCTAAAAAACTTGTCATCTCCATATATTTGAGTTTTATTAAGTAGAAAAATTAAAGAGGATGTGATGCGGACGATTATTATGATTGCTCATAGGTGGGTCACGAGTAATGATATTTGTTTTAAGTAGAATATACAAAAAGTTGTTGGAAAACCAAATCAAATCCTGAAATTCCAGGATCGCTGAGATGTGTGTGTTTGATTTTAAAAATATTTAGAAAAAATCTGTGATGAAGGGGGAGACCGTCCCTCTCTCTGTGATCAACTCTGCAGGAGAGTTTAAAACGAGCCCAGGAGGGAGAGTGAAATTCCTTCCAGAGTGAAAGGGGGCGAGGGGGGGGGGTTAAAAAGTGACAGAGGGAGTCCTTGAAGGATTGTGTGCTCAGCTGTTTTTCTTTCCAACATGGAGAGTGAGGTTAGTGTTCCTTTATCACTGCTGCAGAGGGCGTTTGAGCCACACAGAGAGGGCAGCTGACAATCTCAGACACCCCCTCTCTGTTATCTTTTAGGAAAGTCGGACGGGTGAATCATGAAGTTGTCCAAACTGCTGCCCCTGCATATACCTCAGCCACATGTTGGTGCGCTGTCTGTGTCTGTGGCACATTTTGGATTGATTTTTTTTCCTCCAAATCGAGCATCTGTCTTGTTCTGCTGATGCTCGAATAAGTTTATCGAATTTCCCAGTAAATGTTCTGTCATTGTCCCTTTCTGTTTGAAGTGGCTGGGCTTTGAATGAAGACTCATTGTTATAGCTGGACACCCAAAAACAGCTGTATTTTTTTAATCTAATATCAAAGCAGGAAGCACAAATCCAAATGTTTGATTTACAGCTAAATAAATCAGCACAACTACGGATCAGTTAATAAGTGTGTCTTTTTAATTGGGACCACTAGTGCTGTGTGATACTGTAAATACAGGGCCAGGATTACTGATACCGATACTTTTAACCTATAAAGGCAGCTTATGTATTAGAGAGCAGTGTGTCATGCTTTATGAGATGAATCATCATCAGTCTGCAAAATCTGCACACGTCAGTGACCTAAAAACATAGATTTTCACAATACACAATAGTCTATTACCACACGCTTCGAATGTGGGTTTTGGCGACCTGAAACATAAATGTTTCTGAAGCAACTTGTCTTGTTTAAATTTGCTATGGGCTATAAATAAAATAATAAAATAGGGTTTTGGACACTTTCCTCTAACACACACCACCACCTATCTAATAATAAATAAATAAATACATAACACAATTCTGTGGGCTACATACTCAACAAATAATACGTAAAAATATCGATCTCATCGTGCCAATATCGATCCATTACCAATACCGGCGTTGATATCGATACTATCGATATTAGGATCGCACATAAACAATAATCCTGCACTTGGATGTAAACGTGCCATCATTAATTGAGCCCCCCTCGCTTGTTGTTTGGGGGCTTTGTTCATCTGTAAAACACAAAGGCTCATGCGAGTCTCTGTGTGTGCTTGAGTCATTTTGGTGGCTCTTCTTTTGTGAGGATTCAGCATCCTCCCGGTGCAGCAGCAGCAGCAGCAGCCCTCCCCCTCTGCAGCCTCTCCAGCAGTATGCCCGACGTTCAAACGGAAGCAGGCGCTACCATTTTGAAACACGGCACCGCTTAGGTAAGATGGTAGATCCTTTTATTTAATCGCCTTTTCTGCACCCTTATTCTCATGTGGGAGCTCGTTAAAGCCCGCCGTCTAAAAGCTGTGAGGGGGCTGCTGGTTTCGGCGCTGTTGTAGGGACGGAGAGCTTTAGATCGCCTCGCCGTTTCACTGTGTTCATTCCTGTGCGGGAGGAAGAAGGGGAGGGAGAAAAAATGTGTTGTTACATTGTATCGATCTGCCACCGAGAGTCATACCGTTGTATCAGGTATTAGTATTGATCATCGACGCCTCGCAATAGGAAGTGAAAGTAAGTGTGTTTAATGCGTGTCCGTGGCTGTTTGGCTGTCGGGACTTTGTTTGGCTTTGCTTTGAATCGCCGAGCGGAACCAAACAAGCATCTCGCTCTCTCTCCCTCTCTCTCTCGTGTCTCCATTCACAAAAACACTGACAGCCTGTCCGACCAACTCGTCTCGTGTCTTTTGGGTATTTGTGAGCTGGTAAATAAAGCGAGCTGTGGGAAATATGTCGACTCAGCGCCGTGCTGCGTCATCACAAAGCAGCTTTCCCCCACCACCACCTCTGGTTTATGCTTCACTTGAACCCAGTGTTAGTGCAGCAGCCATACTGTATGTGAGCGGGGTTCACCCAGTATGGAGAGCGGGTATCTGTGGTGGTGCTGGTGGTGGTGCTGATGGTGTATTCGGTAAACTCAAACCAAAAAAACTAGAAACCCAGTTGTGTGGTGTTGGGGTGGGGAGGTGGGTTGTCCTGTAAAACATGTACAGGCTGAAGTGAAGGAGATCCCTACTATGCTCGCTTCTTGCTCCATATTTTTATTCTTGGGCCCTGTTCACGTTATTTACAACTGAAGAAATTCCTGGTGCAGCCAAACTGTCTTCTGATTGGCTGCCCCTCGCAAACAGAAGCTTCCTGTTAAATGCAGAAACAATTCAAAATCCTGCTCCTCACATACAAGGTCTTGGATATTCAGTCCCCATCTTATCTTAATAACCTTGTAGTACCATATAACCTTATTAGGGCAATTCGCTCTCGCTCTGCAGGCCTACTTGTTGTTCCTAGAGTATTTAAAAGTAGAATGGGAGGCAGAGCCTTCAGTTTTCAGGCCCCTCTTCTGTGGAACCAGCTTCCAGTTTGGATTCAGGAGACAGACACTATCTCTACTTTTCAGATTAGGCTTAAAACTTTCCTTTTTGCTAAAGCATATAGTTAGGGCTGGACCAGGTGACCCTGACACCTCCCTTATTTATGCTGCAATAGGTGTAGGCTGTTGGGGGACTCCCATGATGCACTGAGTTGTTCTTCTTCAGTCACCTTTTTGAATCACTGTGTGTTTATACACCTCACTGGAACGATGTCAAGCTCTCTTCCACAGCATGTCTTTGTCACAGATGGCTGCCCCTCCCCGAGCCTGGTTCTGCTGGAGGTTTCTTCCTGTTAAAAGGGAGTTTTTCCTTCCCACTGTTGCCAAGTGCTTGCTCAAAATGATTGTTAAGCTTTTCTCTAGATAGTTATGGGGTCTTAAAATTACAATACAAAGCACCTTGAGGCGGCTGCTGCAGTGATTTGTCGCTATATAAACAAAACTAAATTTAAACCAAAGATGAGCGGAGCTTCTGTGCTCATATACAGAGGTGTGTCATCTTCGGGTCGGATTTAGTAATGTGTTACAGCACAAAGTGGTTTCTGGCATAGAAGGAAGTACTGTGTGTATTTAGAAAAGAGCCCAGTGACAAGATTGTGTGTAAGTGGACATGGAGGACGAGGTGGAGGAACTCTGAGACTTCTCAGACTGACCATGTTGGATATGTATGCTCGGAGTTCCTTTCTGAAGGTGCAAAATATAGGGAGGAAAATATATAAATCAAGTGTGCAAACTGGTTTACTGTTTGTGACACACAGTTTACTGCTAATTTAAGATTTAACGGAGGACAAAGCTTGCCCTATTTTTTGTGTTTAACATTGAAATGAACTGATTGCGCTTGTGCTTGGAAAACGGAACAGCTTTTGTAAACCACACGCAAAACTTACCACACTTACAAGTACTATTTGGGGATTGCGCTAACATGCTTTTTCCACCCCGTTCAGTAATTGTGTCTTTAAACTGACTCTGAAACTGTGGACACAATCTCGCTGTCTGATGTCTAATGATTGAGAAGTCATTATCCAAAGAGCGTACGCGGGGTAATCCTCCTTTCTGACTCTCAGAATCACCAAATTTTGCATTACTGTTTGCTAAAGATCTGTTTTTCACTGTGTCAGTCTCATTTTTCTTTAACATAATTTTGTATTATTTTATCGTATTCCATATAAAACTTTGTAAATATTCAATATGAGCCCCTGTCCTGTTTATTGTAGATTATACTACTTTTATTATTATTCTTAATGCTGCCGAAAACACGAAGCATTAATATGGGTAAAATACATCTTAAATGTAGCCAAAATCAAAGGTTTATTTACTCAGATAATTAATCATTAAGTAAAATATCCATCTATCTAGTCATCTTACAAAATTCACTTATTTTCTTTGCAGCATGACCTAAAACAAGAGACGCTGGGTCCACTGGAAGCGATTTGTTCCTCTCGTGTCACTTACAAACTGACGGCTCATCACTTGCAAACGTTCCAGGATCCGGTTGCCTAGGTAACCCACTAATATGCATACTGACAGGTCATATGGTAATCAACACTATCCTGTGCTCACACTGACAGTCGCCTGGAAGTTGAGAAAAGATGCTGAAGTCACCAGCTGTCCTCTTTCACTTTATGTGCTCCATGATCACCACATTGCTTCTGGTGTGGATGCATCTTAGGGCCGGGATTATGCTTTCCCCGTCAGTCCGCTAGGGTCCATTCAGGTCCGCTCCACATAAACGTCATCATCAAATGGTGAGCGAGTCCACAGTGGAGTATAGTCGAGGTCTTAGTCATCAGCAGGGTGTTTACCGAGGTCACAAAGCGAGGAAGCAGAAGACCATTTTCCAATAGAGGCCTACGCAACCAGAAACCACAGACGTCGCCCCCTGCTGGCTATTAATATGAATGCATGTTTGAGGCACTTTGACTTAGCTACTTATCAGAAAGTTGAACGCTACATCCATATTTGTGCCTGAGATGACCATATTAGGCATATTTCCTCTAGTGAGATCACACAGAACCAGGAATCGACAACACTGTATCAAACTGAGCTTTTAAGCCTGATTTATCTCACAGGGATTATTTCTACATATGTGGACCTCATTACAAGAAACTTTCACCACAATTAATATGAACATTCGGTGTTATAACGGTGTATGTGTGACAGAAAAATGAGGAAAACTGTGATAGGTTCTCTTTAAAGCACCCGGATTCATGAAAGTCACTATAAATGCGTCGTGAGTTTAGGAGCAGCACTGCTCCTTGAAGTTGTTGGTGCAAAATGCTCCTTTCGCCTGTGTCTCCTCTGTATGAGGGTGACTCATAGCTGCATGGGTAGTCACAGCCTGCTTCTCGCGAGTGAGAGCGACGTATCCTTAAGCGAACTCTGTGATCTCTGTGGCATTTATTGTAAATGTTTAGCGGTTATTCGCTAGCACGATCTCCACTGCTCTGTTTTTACATAATATGACTTTATCTGACCTCAGCGGGCAACTCTGAGGCAAATCTGTGGTCAGTGTGGTATTCAATTTGAGGAATTTGAATGTTAATCTGCCTCCTCATTCATGCATAAAGGTTCTTTATCAAGAGTGTGTGTATATATGGGTGCGTTTAACGTTTTCTCCAAATAGCAAGTTTCTGGGTTTTTCTCTTTTACTCTTTAAGCTAAAAATTGATCGCTTCTTTCATCTGTGATTTTTTTTTTTAGTCGTCTAAAAATAAATAAAAGCTTTAGGCTTGAGATAATGACATTTCCAAGCTTTTGATGCTCATACACTGTGTCTGCTTTTCACCCCTGTAGTCTTCTCCTTGTCAGACTAACGCTGAGCCAAAGGTGTGTCTTCATGCTCACTCAGTAACTGTCACGTCTGGGGCAGCTGATAGTCATACTGTGTTGCTAATCCTTTCACTTATCTCTAAACAAACAGTCAAAGCGATGCTCCCTCTGTTTCTCCACAGCGCCATGGACAAGAGCCACACAGTGAAGCTCTTCGTGGGTAACCTGGCATTGGACACCACGCAGGAAGAGCTGTCGGCCATCTTCGAACCCTACGGTCAGGTGGTCAGCTGCAGCGTGCTGCGGCAGTTCGCCTTTGTGCATCTGCAGGGGGAGGGTGCTGCGGAGCGGGCCATCCGGGAGCTCAATGGACGGGAGTTTCGTGGTCGGAATTTGGTGGTGGAGGAATCGAGGGGGAGGCCGCTGCACTCCACCAAGGTGTTTGTGGGTAATCTGAGCGGCATGTGCACCACAGAAGACCTCCAGCAGCTGTTCCAGACGTTCGGGAAAGTCCTCGAATGTGACAAAGTCAAAGGTAAGCCAGGTCTCTACTCACAGTTGAAGTGAAGTTAAAGTTTAGATTCTGTTTTATGGTTTAATTACAGCTGCTGAATTGCTGGGAGCGCCTGAAAAAGACTGCAGAGTGCAAAGTTCAAAGTTAAAGCTAATGCCCCGATTGTAAAGTTGTGCACTTTCCTTTGGCACAGTTCATTTTCCTAGTAAGCAAATGTGATCCTTATTATTATCAGTGCACTGAATCACATCCAGCCATTGCTTTTCCACAGGCTATGCTTTTGTTCACATGGAAAACAAGGAAGATGCGCTACAGGCCATCGAAGCCCTGCACGGCACCTCCTTCAAGGGCCGGCCCCTGTCCGTAGAGCTCTCCAAGGTCCAGCCCAGCAAGCAGGCGCCGACGGGGAAGATCCCGTGTGTGAACTGTGGGAAGCAGGGCCACTATGCTGGAGAATGCCCTGTGGGGAAACCTTCTCTGGAGCAGTACCAGAGTCAGGCAGCGGTCTTGGCTGCTGCCGCCGCTGCGGCCGCCGGCCTACCGCTGCAGGTCCAGCAAAGCGTGCACAATTCAGTCTACAACACCTCCACCTTTGATCCCACTTATGCTGCTCTCACAGGGATTACCACCGGGACACGCACAGATGGGAACCCGGTAAATCCAGCTGTTTATGGTGCCCTTGCCAGCCAGGTGTACGGTGCCAACGTTGCCAATCAGCTTTACGGAACGGTGGCCAATCAGGCCGCTCTCACGTCAGGGGCCACGCAGGTATACAGCTCCATGACACCTAATATTTACGGTCAGGTGGCTGCGTCCCCAGCAGCCGCCGCTGCTGCTGCCGCCGCTGCCGCTGCCTACACAACTCCGGTTTACACCCCGACAATGGCCAACCACCCCGTCTATCTGGCCGCGGCTCCTGGGATAGAAATGCCAACAGCGGCAGCCGCCATTAATCCTGCCTACTCTGTAGCGCCTGCGATTTACAGCGCCGCCGCACCAGCCTACGCTCAGTTAAGCGCCATGGGAGCAGCGGACCCGACTACGGCTATCTTTGAGGCTGCCAGGCAGGCGCATTACTTCGCCCAGGGCCAGCAGGTTGTGGCTGAGCAGCAGACGGCAGCTGCCGCCACAGCAGCAGCTGTGGCAAAGTCCGGAGAGAGGGATCGCAGTCCACTGCGAAGGTCGGCACCTCTGCTTCCGGACCCTGTGATGAAGCCATTTATGTACCAGAGGGCCAAGCCACGCCGACCCCTGCTCCCCACGCCAGCTGGTCGAGCAGCTGAAGAGGCAGTGGAAGCCGCAGAAGACCCCATGGCCAGGTAGGATATAATCTTTGATTCTGTTTCCTGCTAAGCAGCAGATGTGAAATAATGACAGAGATCGTTAACTTTCATGTTTTCTAAAAAATCAAGGTGCCCCCTCACCTTTACAAATCTGATGTTGTTCTTGTGGTTTTAGCTCGTGGTTCACTGTTCACTGCAAACTATTTTCTCTTCAACTAAATTTGTCCTTAACCTAACCATCTCTGTCCTCCCCCGTCTTAGGTACTACGCGGAGTACTACCAGCAGCTCCAGCAGTACCCACAGTTCCAGTATGCCTACGCATCACCGAGCGCAGTGACCGCCATCCCTGGCATGCCGGGAATGCAGGCCATGCAAGCGGTCCAAGCAGTTCAGGCTGTCCCCGCGATGCAAGCCCAGCCCGTCACCACGCTGGACGCGCTCAGGCCAGTGGTCCCCGCCGCTGCGGCAGTGGCAGCCGCCATGGCTGCGCCCAGGGTGTATGAGCCGCCGTTGCCGCCGCCCACGCGCAAGGAGGCCATCCTCCGCCGCCCCGAACTCTCCCTTCACACGCCTGAGCCCCCCTTCCGATAGTCGCACACAACTCTCTGCCCGCCCCTCCCTCTTTGCCCTGAACCCCTCCCACCCTTCACCCTCCCTCACCCGCCCCAATCTCCTCTTCCAACCCCAAACTTGACCACCTTACAGCAGCTGTATGTACGTGTGTGTGTGTGTGTGGGTGTGTGTGTGTGTCTGGGGGCTCTAAGTGTGTGGTATTAAACTGGGGACTCCTTGGTTTATTAACCTGCTTTAGGAGAAACTTGATACGCCAGCCTTGGTTCAGTTTGCACGCACACACAGTGCAGCCACCGAAAGGGAGGCTTTCATCTGTCGCGCGGGCATTCTTTGTGCTTCTCAGTTTTACTTTTTTATCGTGCCAGTCTCACACGTGTGCCAGTATTAGGCCGACCCGCTCGGCCGTTTCATATATGCCTTTATTTCCGCAAACCCAGTTATGATTTTCTAAGGCCGAGACCTTCGATTGACGACATCAGCCATCCTCCTTAGGCCTAGATGATCAGTTAGGGCAGCTAATTTGAAACCTTTTTTGCCTTATGTTGAAGAGTTTCAATTTGCAACGTAACCAGATGGAAAGTCAGGGCGACGCTCTCGCGCGTGACGGCTGCGCTGCGTCGCGTCCGGCCGAACCAAGGTTGAGTCTTCTTTGTTTTTTGGTTTGTTTGGGGTTTTTTTTCGAGGGACGTTTTGTCTTGAATGTGACGTGGGCTGTGACGCGTGTGAGCGAGTGAGAGGTGAGGGCTTGCTGACCTTGCAGCGCACAAACGCAGCAGCAAAAAAAGAAAATAAAACTTTGCCGAAAAGGAAAGGAGAGAAAAAAAAGAGTAAAGCACACATAAACGTACTGTAATGTATGTTTGGATCTCCCCTTTGACTCCCTTTTTTTTTTTCTGAACCCCCCCTCCTCCCCTCCCGCTCCACCCTTACTCTAACTGCAGCAATGAAAGACACTGCTTCACCTCTCCCTCTCTCGCTCTTTGTAATTACAGCTGCCTACCTCTTACAGCAAATTTCAATGTCTATTCTTTTCTATTGTGTTCTCTTATATTGTCGGCAGTTCCCGCTCCTTGTAAAGGGACAGGGTCAGCAGTTTAGAGGGGGAGGAGCCAGATATTACCGACAGTGACTTTTTTTTGTAGATGTTCCGTATGGAGTCCATCATTTTCAGAGGCCTTTTTTAAAAATAGTGTAAATGTGTTTTTTGTTGTTTACCTGTGACGTAAGTCAGCCTGGGATGTGATGAACTGTAAACGGTGGTGAAAGGAGGGAGAAAAAAATCAATGTGTTACTACTGAGGGAGCAGTTTACAAAAGGATCTTTTAATCGCATCCTGTTGGAAACCACGATGGTATGTGACAGGCTCAATCATGTGCCTATAAAGCCTCGAGTGAAGTGCATTAAGTGGAGGGACCTCCCATTTTTAAGTGCTTTTGACATTATTTTTTAATCATTTCAAGGAGGGCGGGGGGAGCCCGACCTCCAGAGCTTTAGTATCCAGAAGGCTTGGAGAGCGAGCGAAGCTTTCTCTGGGATTTGTTTCACAGCTCTTAAAAGAAAAAGCCACAAACCGAGCCTTCACGGGTTCGTTACTTTACTAACTGCTGGTTAAAGCAGAAACGACAGTGATAGCACCAATGAAGTGAGAGGTGGGGCAGCGTCGTCCACGTGCTTCTTTGACCCTCCGAATACCAGACCAGCTTTAGATTGCGATTGCAAAAAAGGGAAAAGAGCAAAAGTGTCTGTTTTAATATATCTGTTAGGGCTTGTAGAACTGGACTTTGACGAGTGGCAAATCCCACCCGCGTAGCTCTGCGTTTCATTAAAACAGCCACTTTCAAAGTATTTTGCAACTGCTATGTGACGGCGGTCTGCTGCACACGCCCCTTTACTGCCCTCCCGTTCCCCCCTCCTCCTCCCCTCCTCTCTCTCCCCCTGTGTTTTTTTTTTCTTTCTTTCTTTCTTTTTGTTTTTTAGCGGTTGAGCGACTTCTTTGCATCTCACGGTGTAATCTCTCTCTGTGTCGTATATACAGAACACATACCAGTTGCATCCTTTGTAGAACTATGTGGTTTGCGAAATGTCTTGTTTGCCATGTTTGAGATCGTATTTTTTAGAGAAGTATTTTCATTTTTTTTTTTTGCCTTCTTTTTAAGAAAAATATAAAAAGTCAAAAGTTTAAAAAAAAAAATCATTCAAAAAAAAAAATCAGCATGCTTTTTATTGAGAATATGTATTACTATAAACCTTATTATAATAAAGAATGTTTTGGCTGACACTAATGTGGTAAAAGAAAGCAAAGGGTTTGGACATTTCCCCTTCTTCTTCTTCTTCTTGTTTATGTTGTTCTTCTCCCACTATCTGTTTCTCTTGTGTAAAATGACCACCAGACCCATTTGACTGGGGACCCAAGGGGGAGACAGGTGTAGATGCTGGCCCAGCTTTGCTCTCTTTGGTCGGGGTAAGTGCAGGTTGGTGCTCCTTTCCTCTCTCCAGCCTCTCAAACTCAGTGCAAACCAACTCAACCAAAGGGTTTTGGGGTTCATTTGCATTTGAGAACATGCATTTCAGCGATTCGTTCTGGCTCTGTAACATTAAAAGTTAAAAAAAGGATTTTTCTTGTAGAAATGATGTTTTGGCACAGTGAGAGCTGGGGAGAGGCACACAGATAGAATGGCCTGGGTGCATTTTGATCTGTGGAGCAGTCCTGTTTCCTTGGGCGGGGGGGTTTGATGGGTGTGTGTCTGGTCTGGTCTGGTATCTCCCCTGCTGTACCAAATTCTCCCTCTCCGTGTGTCTCTGTGTCCTCTCTGCTCTCAGACCTGCATGTGTGATAATCTGTAACTCTGCCGCACAAACAAACAAACAAGCCCCACGTCAGTCCAGCTCTTGACTAACTATCTCAACTGAAATAGGTCACCGTGCCGCCTGGAACGGCCGGGGTGCAGCCGTGCGTGAGCGTGGCGGCGTGAGCCATGGGGACGACTTTTAGCGCGACGCCAACGCAGCGGGAACTCGTTCTCTCTCTCTCTTCACCACCAAGGTAAATAAAAAAAGTTTACAAAAAAACAAAACGCAACAACAGCAGGAAAGAAATCCTAAAGAGCACTGACTTCCCCTCTCCCAACCTGCCGCCCCCTCCTTTGACTGTGCCTTGAACAAACACTCCTTCCCCACCTCCCTCCTCTCCACACTGCCATCGCCACCTTCCTCCCCCACCTCCCCCAGTCCGTAACTCCTCCTCAGCTGCAGTGGCGGTGCCGCGGCTACAGCCTTGGGCTTCTCCTCTGTGGGTTTGGTGGGCAGGGTTTGGGTGGGGTTAGGACCCCTGCACAGGTCTCAGTCAAGTCTTGCAATCAGCTTTAGGAGGCGACTGGCGCGCCCTCTCTGTCCTGCTGGTGTGTGTCTGTGTGTGTGTGTGTTAAAGAGAAAACAGCTTCTTTTTTTGTTTGTCTATTTTTCTGTGGGCGGTATTTCATTGATTGGTGAGGCTTGACACCCCCACCCCACACACCCTCCCCCCTGCCCTCGCCACCGCCGTATTCGCCGCCCTTGCCCCTTCCCTGCCCGCCCCGGTTCCCTCCTTCTTCCCCCTTCCCTCTCTCATACCTCCTCCTCCTTAACCCCGCCCTCCTGTGCGCCTCTCCTTTCCGCCGTTCACACACAAATACACAGCGCTTTTTTTTTTTCTTCCCCCCCTACTCCCGCCGCCACCGCCGTCGCCACCACCACCACCTTGGATCTGGGTTTGTGGCTCTGGCTCGGACTCAGACTTCCCAGAACCACCCACCTAAACCCAAACTACCCACCCACCCTCCTTTTGTTACCGTAGTGGCCTGGGCGTGCCAACGGACAGTGTATGTGTGGTGGCCCGCCGCCGGACTCAGTAACACGACACAGAGAGACTTCAGTGTTGGACGAGCCGCTTTGCTGAAACTGTTGAATGATGGGTTTGCGCCACACAGCTGTGGAAGGAATCGTAACTCCCATAAGACCTTAGCACCATGACAAAACGAGATAAACCAACAGGGGGTTTGCCTTGGGTCCCTCACAGCCTGTGTGCCAATCAGAAACGTCCTATAAGATCGGCTAATGAGGCCAGTCTGACCTGTAGATTCTCACCAATCTCGGGACTCCTGTAGGACTTTTCTGGTACGGCAGCTCTGTTTCTCTAATCCTAGTGTCAGCTGGACCGGCTGGATATGTGCTATGAGTGACTTGTATGAGGTGTGGCTATTAAATAATGAGACGTCACACCGGTTTGACTCACAGAAGCTCTGTTTTGTTGTTTAACAGCCACGCCTCGTCTACATTCTTACCTGTTAAGACTATTGATGCACACACACAGTCCCGCACACACTCGCTGTATGTCAGATGAGTTTGTCTCACATTTGCTCCGACCGCTGCGAGACGGAGTCGAGACAAGCGTGGCGCTGCCTTTCTGTCCGCCTAACAAACTAAAAGGAGGTGGGGAGGATTGAGTAGATGACTTACTGATAAGGTGAGTTGGTAGTGGAAGGATCCTTTGGCCCAATGCTACTTTCTAACCTCACCTTTCTGATCTTGGAGCATCCCATAATAGAGTCACTGGCCAGAACCTTATCAAAAGAGAACGTTGTCGCACACAGTGTCTGTGCTAATAATAACGAGCCCTAGAATCTGATGTCTCTGTTGCTTGGATACAAAGTGCAAAAAAAACTGATTTTTTTTTTTGCATTCACAGACACATTAAGTTTTTTTAAAAAACACAAATGATGAGTTCATCATGTGTGGATGCATTTAGAGGCACATAGAGGCCAGTTTTATTTCTCTCCAAAGGACCGCTGTGTAGGACTTAGTGGCGTTCGAGGACTGGACGTGTAGTGCAGGATCCATAGTCCTACATTAGTGCACATTTGCCTAGAAGGAAGGATTGTGGGTATTTGACAGATGCAGAGGCCATGTGTAGATGTGGTGAAAGACCAAAAAGCACATATCCTGATATCCTGAATGCTGATTGGCCGAAAAGCTGGCTCGAACAGGAAAGGGAGCAATAGTGCAGTTCACCACAAAGAGGAACAACTGTGTCCATTTTCATTGCTTTCAGTCACTCAGTTTCACTTTACTACAAAGGACCAACGAAAGCACAAAAACGAGGGTAGCCTGTGTCACTAAATGCTGCACACATTTACAACCAGGCTGCCATGGCAACAGCACGCAACCACAGCGTGAAGTTGTGAGTCTGCAGACCTCAGCGTAGCACAGATTAGAGAAAACGTGAAGGGCTCTTTACACTAGTGAAAACAAACACAACTATGACTACTGCATGTAATACTGTATGTAATATAGTCACAGGCGATTGCCCCCTCCCTGAGCATGGTCCGTCTGGAGGTTTCTTCCTGTTAAAAGGGAGTTTTTCCTTCCCACTGTCGCCAAAGTGCTTGCTCAAAGAGGGTCGTCTGATCGTTGGGGTCCTCTCTGTTAATGTAGGGTGTTACCTTCCAATCTAAAGCACCTTGAGGCGACTGCTGTTGTGATTTGGCGCTATATCGATAAAATTGAACTGAGTACTGTATTCTGTTTCCACGAGTAAATCCTACACACTGGTCCTTTAAGCAGTGCAGCTGATGAAACCCCTCCTCAGCCTCCATGATCAGGGCACACCGTGCTCCAGTTTTTTTTCCCCCTCCAGCCACCTCACCCCTCCCCTCCAACTCTGCCGGCTCCTCACTAAAAAGGCTTCTTCTGGTGCTTGTGAGTCTAGGCTTCCCGTGCTTGGGTGAATGCAGCCACGCATCTCTTAAACACCCCGACCCCCCCGCGCACCCTCTTGCTCTGAATTCACAGACAGAGCTGCAGCCTCCTCTCTACTTCCACTTCCTCACCCAAACTCCCCCTGCCTTCTGTGGTTTGGACAGCTGAAGAACTGAGATACTCTGCACACACACACACACACACACACATTTATATAGATATATATTTGTGTATTGTGTTGTTTTTTTGATGGGATCCCACAGGGTACAGCAGACACCGGCAGAGATGTACATCGGGAACAGAACCCACTCCGGCTTAGGTTTGAGCACTGTAGACCGTGATGCCTTTTTTAGTTGAAGCAGGTTTCATTAACGAGACTTTTCTAGGTCATCTAGCACAGATGTGAATCACAGAATCACACTTCTAATGATGCTTATCCTCTCTTCAGATAAAAGCGTCAGGAGTGTCTTATCTCACACGTTACCTCGTATAGAGGGGGGCAGACAGCATGTGAATGCCAGCAGGATGCAGTGCAGCTCAATACAAAAATCACTGCATTTATTGATCATTTATAAGGTTTTTTTCCCCTCATAACTGCAGTAATAGTGTGTTGGCTGGCATTAGAGTGAAAGGCGTTCATGTTATTTTGTCCACCCTTCTGCCCTTATATGATTACAGGCCACCTGAGGCCAAGCCCATCTTTTTTTTTCTCCCTCTCCACGGACCATTTCATTGTCAGCAGTCCCACGGTGGCATTATGTTTAGCCATTTCAGTTCCCTCGTCTCAGCGGCTGCTCAGTCACAAACCTAATTGTAACCACAAATAGTCGCGCAGTAGCTAAGCTTCTTCAAGTAGGTTAATGGACCAAGCTTAGTGTAGTTAAACGAAACGCCTCAGTTAATTACAATATTAATCGTTCTAGTTTCCAAAGACGTCAGGGGTGACAGAATAGTGTGTCATCTCAAGAGGAGAGCAATCGGGATCTGCTCCTCTTTCAAAGAAATCGAATCCAGCACAACGCTGAACGATGAGGGGATTTTCACACCGTGAATGTCGGATCAAACATTTGCGTCAACATGTTTACTGTGAATGACAAATCCTGATATGAAGACAATTATACTGTATGGTTGTGTGTGCATATATTTATGCCTTTTGGTCTGTATTTCTTAAGATGTTGAGGTATTTTTTTTCAGTCTGCATGAACAAAAATCATGAATAAATCTTTTTGTTTCTCATATAATTTGCCTGAGTTTGTTGTTATTTGGTGCTTGATCCTTTGCTGTGTAGTTTAGGACAGCAGGAACTATGCATTTTACCTGCAGCCTAATTTTAGAGTGAGGAATAAGATGGCGTGAGCTGCTGCCAGTGAGAGCAGTGCAGGGAGGAGCTGCTTTGCCTGGGGTTAGATTGAGCTGGAGCCAGAGGGGAGAAGTTGTCAAAATCTCAGAAATGGGTGTCTTAATTTTATTGACTCATGTGGGGGCTGAAAGCACAGAGGCCTGGCTTTGCCATTGAGGATCATTAACAGCAACAGGTGCATTGCACAGGCCATAAAAACCTCTCTGCTGAAAGGAGGCGTTATTGACATACTTCCACACCACTCACGAGCCCCCTCATCCCTACCCGCGGGAGACCACCCCGCCTTTCACACCTTTTTAGGCCCAGAACCTGATACCCATGCTGTCGGTTCCCATACTTATTGGGGTGCGGTCACGTGTGCCACTTTTGACCAGGAAAGGAGCACCGGCCAGCAGGGTCTTCTGGTAGTGGGAGCACCACCTCCGCACAGGCACCTCGCACCAGTGGAGTCTGGTCTCTGCAGCCCCTAACTCTCTCTCTCCCCCCGCGAAAGCGAGACCTCTAAGTCTCAAGGAGGTTGTTTGGCCTCACGGCGTCATCTTCGTCGTTTCTATTGCTGATTATTTTTTTTTATTACCAATAAGCTGAGGGGGACGCGTAAAGTCCTGACTGAGGCGGAACCATGACAGCTGTCGAAACCCAAATAACATACACCAACTCCTACACGATCCAACATGAAGACGCGTACATGACCCAGGAGGAGGACTGGGACAGGGATCTGCTGCTGGACCCCGCCTGGGAGAAGCAGCAGCGGAAGGTAGGTTTGGATAAAGCGGTTTCGAGTAGCGCTTGTACCGACGTGCGTAATTACGCACAGATCGAACCTCTTCGCTCGCATTCAAGTCAGTGAGCGGCGCTTTTAAAAAAAATGCTTTTAACACGTTAACAAGGCAGACTGAATTTAATTTGGGAGTCAGTGGTGTTGGTCTAATTGTGTGAAGTCTAATATGAAACTGCGCTTTCGCTGGCCTCACACCTGGCACTTCAGTCCTGCTTGAAGCTGTGTGGGCAGATATTTTAGGCTGTGGAACTTTCTCAGTGTTGTCTTTCAGTTACCCCTGATTGCCTTGCAGACTGTCTAAATATATTACCACCTCCCGGAGGTTTTTGTTTTCTTACTTTGCCTGCGTTTTTTACTTAACTTTTAAAGTACATGCGAGTTTATAGGGATATAAGGACATTAAGCCAACCTGGAGATAAGGATGCAAAGGATGGCGTAAAAGCAGAGGGGAAATACTCACAATAATTATACCATTTGTTAAGTTACATTAGACCAATATAAGTATGCCTTTTTTAATTATCTATACCACAACTTCCTGTTAAAACAGCCTGTTATGTTACTGAGGAGTATTACATTTTATGACTTAAAAAGTAAAGCAACAACTCTTAAAGTATGTCTTTAATCTTATTTTGAAACCCATACTGAACGAGAGTTGGGGCGGGGTGGGGTTAGGCCAACCTTTAAGGTCGCATGGAGAAAGAGCATGACAGGTGTGTTTAATGAGCTGCTGGAGCAAAAGTCAAGTGACACAGGTGATGTCTGGCACGGCACACTGGGACAAAAACAACACTGGCAAAGGTTAATGAGCTACACTTTTGTCTTTGAGGTGTTCATCTTGCACACAAATGACCCACTGCGATGTTTCAGTTCAGTGAACAGACTGAACTGATTTTCATGTTTGGTATTTTTGATCCTAAGGGTTTGTAATTGGTCGCCATGTTGGATGACCACAGCCTTCACCTACCAGGAAGCCCGGGCTGGAAATAGCCATCAGGAAGATTTCTGTTTCATATAATGAAAGAGAGCTACTAAAACATATTCAAATTAAACAGGAAGTTTCAGCTGTTTGCCGCACCTGACTCAAAGTCATTAGCCTTCTCTTCCTAGCTGGCATGTCAGAAATGCAAAGGGAGCAAGGATACATTCAGTTAAGATGTTAATCCTGTAAAACCAGAAATAATTACCAGCAAATTTTAAGCTCGATTTTTTTTTTATTGAATCTGGAAAAAAGAGAGTAAAAATAATTGTGCATATATGAGAGTTAAGTTGTATCATTTTTAGCTACATTTGGCTTTTTTGTATAATTTATTGCTCACAGCCTGTTAAACAAAGACATGTTTTAATATAGTCAAAAGAAACTCATAAAATGTGATACAGTTAATGTTATAAGGTTTCACTTTTTTTTTTAAAGGTTTTCTTGTGTTGCTGTACAGTTTGGCTCAAGAAAAGTAAAAGCTGAGACTTTGGCTTCAGCTAATGCAGAGACGGCACATGACTTTACTCTAAAGATGACACATTTGGACAAATGAGGTTTAAATCAGCAATAGAACCTTCAAAAAGTTCAACATAACTTCCAGCTGCTGTTTGTGTTCAGCTGAGCTGAAGAGAGCAAAAAGAAAAATCACCTTTGTGAAATATGTCTAATATTCTTTTTGAGTATTTCAGGAATCGCATGCTTCTATTCCCATCTCTGACAGTTATTGAAGTGTAGGGACCGTGCTTGCTTCCATATCCTGCTGTACTCAAAGACATAACCTAATCTAACCTGTAACCAGCACCTAATCTGGGTATAGATCAGTGAAACGGGCACATTTTACGGCATCAGCTGCAGTGAATCTGCAGAATTCTTCCATCAATGAAAAATGTCTCCCAGAGCTGAAGTGCAGTGACAGGCTGAGAGACCTCAACAGATGGTAGCAGAGAGGAGAGAGAGAGATGGATGGCAAGGCTGTTAAGTATACACCCCGGGTTGGTTTCACAGACCCACAAATAAACGTCTTCCTAAAAATACTTCTTAACTTGCTTGGCTCCAACTTGCCCCCCTCCCCCGCTTACTTTCTCTTTATCGCTGTGTCTTTTCTTTGAAAACTTCCTTCGCCACCATTTTTGGAATATTTGCACATCTCTTGTGATTGTGCCTTTTTTAAACTGATTAAAAATGTTGCCTTTCTTACTTTGTCTCATGCGGACCACCAGCCTTTTACGCTCGGGGTCATAAAACAGGCCTTGAATAAACCTCTACAGCCCAGCGAGTCTTTAGTCTTCACCCCTCATCCTCCCCGGGGAGCCGGTCATGGTACTCCACTGCCCTCCTTGGCATGTAAAATCTAGCTTAAGGAGCTGATATCAGCCCATAAATATAGCCGGCGCTTCATTCTGCAGTGCCGAGAATATGAAAGGGAAGCCTCGAAGCACCTGTTGTCTCCTCTGTCCCTGAAATTTCAGTGGAAAAAGCCGCTCACCACTTGCTGCAGTAGTAAAATGTTTGTCAACACACAGTGATGCCGAATCTGATACCACACATTAGAAATGGTGTGTGTCTGAATTGTACATGCTGACACTGGTTTATATTTATCATAGAGCATGGCTCCTTCTTTGCTAACTAAGTGATTCATGACTTGATTTGGACGAGGCATTTGATTTAAGAGGAGCTGGCAAAAATTGTGTTAGATATTGCATCTAGGGGAAAGCTGTCGGAAGGAAATATGAGATATGAAAGGCCGGAGTGATGAGATCTGGCTGCATCTTATCTTGGCGAGCTTCTCTCCTCAAAGCAACTATAATCCTGGAAATAAGGAGGGCTGATCCAAGTGGATGGAGGAAACCGGTCCGGTTAGAGCCAGAAGTTCTTTTCGTGGGCTTTCGGAGCTTTATTGATGTCTGCCTCAAACAGATGACAGGCTGACAGGTCCAGCTCCACCGCATCTGCAAAAAGAAGTGATTGCTGTAGGCGCAATCAATATCTGTTTAAAGATTTACTCTCACTGCAGAGGGCTGCAGAAGACTGCGCTCACAAGAACACATGGAATGGCTTTTTATTTGAAAAGGCGATGCTTTCGTCCTCCTGTGCAGTAGATCCCTCTGTTGGCACGCAGCACTGAGCTAACTAGAAAGTAGAAACTATCATTATGCTAAAAAATAAATAAATGAATAAAGATTCAGTGCTATGACTTAAGTCATCTTCTGTTTCACATTGTTAAAGAGTTCAGCTGCTAATTCACTAAGTAAAGCTGCCTGGTGACGCTCATGTTAGCAGTAATCTAAAAATATCCATTACATGAGGTTATCAGCAGCCGTGTGCTTAGCTGACCTGTTAGCAATAAAAGCTCAGTATACGTACACACAGAAGAAATTAGACTGGGCAAGTTGAAAAGTATTTAAAAAGAATAATAATCATTTATTTTTCCCCGCACTGACACACTGTTGGTAATATAGGAGAGGTGGCTTAAACTGATACCTAGTTTTAGCCTAGCTTCCATGTGCCCACACAGAACTGTCTGTGCAGCCGTACTAAAGACGGATCGATATCTTAGGCGACTATAACATTCAGTATTAACCAATCACAGATAAGAGTGGTGCCAAGTCGAGCTGTGTCTTCTAGTTAAGTTGCTATTTTTTTACGATCAGTAGCTGGTAAGACTCCGTGATTTTTTTTTTTTTCTCCCCTTTTCAGTATTTTCCCTCAACCCCTAACCAGTCTCAGCAGATGGCCCCGCCCCTCCCTGAGCCTGGCTCTGCTGGAGGTTTCTTCCTGTTAAAAGGGAGTTTTTCCTTCCCACTGTTGCCAAAGTGCTCACTCATCTTCTGATTGTTGGGTTTTCTCTATTATTGTAGAGTCTTTACCTTAGAGTATCAAGCCCCTTGAGGGAACTGCTGTGATCAAGTGCTACAGTAATACAATTGAATTGAATTACACTAACACACTATTTTAATCGAGATCTAATGAATGGGTGTTCGACGAAGTATCGGGGGAGGACAAGTTCTGCGTGATGAGGCCCAATCAGGAGTAAAATGCAGGTATCTGTGTCATCTCCACTCCAACACAACACATCATGTTCTTGTTCTGCAAACAGAAGCATAATTAGAAAAGGGGAAACAATCATATAGAAAAACCTTTTTCACAAATCCTGTTGGAAAACACACTAAATCTCTCAACATGTTAGAAAAAGAGAAATCTGCAAAAAATTTGGGCTAAATTTAATCAGTTCCCCCGTGCACATCGAGGCCTTTGTAAAAACGCAACAACAGCCTCTAGACATGTTTTAAAGTAGAATTCTATTATTAAGTGGAAGCCTCTCATAGTCTATCATATCATAGTGTTTGTTTATTTTCATTTTCTACAGCAGCACTGAGTCTTAACAGGCTGAATAATCCAGTCTATTCTTGTCTAATCTCATTTTATTACATTTCAACGAGGGATCACCAGCGTGGCAGGCAGACCGGGTCGTTGATATCTCATACTTGATGCTCGGAGACGGCGCTAAAGCAGTGGACCTCCTCAGAGACGACGATTTGAAAAAGCATCATGCGGACATTTATGTTAAAAAATGAATCTCCAAAGATTAGCGACATTAATTATGCCTTAAATGTCAGCAATGCTGCAGCACGGCTCCACATAAAAGCTACTTATCAACTTTTCAATGCTTCAGCAGCCTGGCTGCTGTCTGCTACCTTGATGCTCATCGTTAAACTCAACAATCACAGCATCATCGAAGCATTTGCATCATATATCATCAAGTGAGTTGATGAAAAAAGGTAACAGAATGGAGCAGAGAGTCTTTCTAGAGACTTCATCTGCTCCACTTTATAATAATTTGCATCTTTATTGCAGATCTGATTTGTAATTTGGCTCATCAGGCCCCCTTTACTCATCCCTGCTCACCGCCTGTGCTTCTCTACCTAATCCCAAGATGCATCTGAGAGAAGAGGCATCTTACGTTCCCCTCCCATAATTCACTCAGTCATGTGACATGTGA